TCGGCCACGCCCTCTTCCTTGACGCCCTCCCCCGCGGGCTGCAACAGCCGCGTAACTCCCCTCCTGAGCTACCGGTCTGTTGGGTTCATCGAGACCGTAATCTATTTAGTCCCAAGAAAGTGATTCGACACCTCCTTCTTCAAAGGTCAGAAGGAGGTTGTCTTTCCCAGGTATTGATCATGAGATGGTGCGGTTTTGCCATCTTTTGCCCGCTTGCAGATCTTTCCAATAGTGGCAATAGTTGGCTTCAGCCAGAAATCCTGCATGATCTAATGCAATCTTACTAAATTTTTCATAGGTCATCCCGTCCTCTTTAGTGCGGGGATATAACTGAGTTCGGATGGGATCCGGTAAGGCGCGAGCAAAACTGTTCAAAATTTGAGCCGGGGTTAACCCATGTTCGGTGCACTGCAACAACTCATCCATGGTAGCTTTTAGTGCCGACGTGCTTTTCCACTTCCTGTCAGGAAGGTTCAAGATTAACATTTCGGTTCTTCGGGCGAGATTCTTATCTTCGAACCTCTCCCTGACGGCTTTGAGAAAGTCTTCAATGCGGGTTTGTTGGGAAAACTCTACCATCGAACTACATCCTGCTTCCTTTTGTAACGAGATGGCAAAACTCATCGCGTCATCGGCCATACACGAAGTGGCCATCAAGACCCTATCCCAATAGGGAATCCGTTGTCCGTAGACATAAGACTCTACARCCGCCATCCAATGCAACACGCTTTCTTCCCTTTTGCCGGTGTACGTCCATGGAATTTTAACTTTAATTTTGTTGCTGGTCCCTGCTCCTCCTTCTCGCTGTCTTCCCTTTCCTTTCTTATCTCCATCGCCTCCATCCCCGTCTCCGTCACCACCTCCTCCTCCGCCGCTACACTGCACTATTCTCTCAATCACGGCGGGAGTGAAGGTTCGAGTGAGATGATCATCCAATTTGTTGATATATTCCTGTTTCGTATGGAGAACTGTTTCAGTTAGGAGGGCGAGTTTTTCTTCAATAGCCGCTTGCTTTTCCCTTTGTGCTTGTAGCTCGCTATGTAACCTCGCCCCCTCTGCTTGCAACTTCTTTCTATCATCAAGCTCTTTGCGTTTTGTCGCTAGCATCTTGTTATGTAGTTCAGTGCGTTTTTCTTCCAGCATCAGCTCTCTCTCCCTTTGATCTGTTACTAGTGCTAGCCTTGTTATGAATGTGTCTCGTTCTTCTTCTGTTTCTTCTAACTTGTCACTGGAATAAGAATACTGGTCATACCAGTCCAATGGCTTGACAAATACTTCTCCCCGGATCTCACTTGTCTCGCCACTTTCTGCACGCCGCCTGATAAGTCTCTCTCCCCCTTCTTCAGAGGCTTCTTCTTCTTCCTCAATAGTCTGCAATTCATCCTTT